GGGGGGGGGGGGGAGTGAGGCGGTGTGTGAGGGTGCAGAGGGTTGGGGGGGTGTAAGAGGGTGGGCTAAAGGTGTGGACCGGGGACAGTGTGCAGGGGTACATGAGAGGCACAGGGGGTGGGGAGGGTGTGCAATGTGGGTTGGGGAGGGTGAGCAGGGGTCCGCAAGTGGCCAGCACAGGACAAATGCAGAGGGGCTGGGGGAGGGTTTGAGGGTGGGGGAGACTTAACCCAGCAACTTGCAACCTTCCCTGCTGGCTTCCCCATTGACGCTCTGAGGAAACAGGCAGGGAAGATTGCAAATGGCGATCATGTGGTCACGAGGCACTGCACTCAGTTGTAAGTGTGAACCAGTTCTGAAGCGCCCAGATCACAATTATGTGACTGGGGGGGGGGGAACAGCCAGAACTCTGAGGACCATTAGTTCAGCACTGTCGTAACTTTGAATGGCTGCTGAACAAATGGTCGTAGGTTGAGAACTACCTATATTTCAAATTTGTCTGGTCCCTTACTTCATTTCAAATGTTCTTGGATTAAATTTGATAAGATTACATTCTTATCTAGATTTTTGCTGTTTGCTTTGTATTCTTTAAATTCTTAATTAATTTTTTCCTTTATTCTGGAATAAAGGATCAGTCACCTTGTAATTTTTCAAACTTGTTGTTCAGAAGATGCAGGCCAGCAGGGTGGCAGGATGAGCGGAGTGAAGGATGGCAGGATGAGCAGAGCACAGGGCGGCAAAGCCAGCAGGGCGAACGGGTGAGTGGAGCAAATGACTACAAGCCAGCAGGGCAAGTGGAGTGGAGAGAAGCAAGGTTGGTAGGACAGCAGGGACAGCGGAGCACAAGGCAGCAAGGCCAGCAGGGCAGCAGGGAGAATGGAAAAAGGAAAGAGAATAATTTAAAAAGTGCAGAGAGTGCAGAATGCAGAGAAGAGAAACAAAGATTAAGGGGTCTGGAAGCTAAATCCTATGAAGAACAGCTAAAGGAACTAGGTATGTTTAGCTTAATGAAGAGAAGACTGAGGGGAGACATAATAGCAGTCTTCCAATACTTGAAGGGCTGCCACAGGGAAGAGGGCATCGATTTATTCTCTATAGCACCTGAGAGTAGGTCAAGAAGCAATGGGTGGTAGCTCGTCAGAAGGAGATCCAACCTGGGAATAAGGAGGAATTTCCTGACAGTGAGAACTATTAAGCAGTGGAACAGCTTGCCTCCC